TTATGTAAAATAAATCCAAACTAACTTAGTATTTGATCACGTAAAATATTACCGTATTTTTTGACTATGAAAATGTTATTTAATTTTATAGGCAGTTTTATTCTATATAATATAATATATTAATAAAAGGGCGTTAAAAGTCTAAAATTAAGGATTTTTCATCATAGCAACTAACTTTAAAATATAATCAACTTAAAAGTTGATTTTAGTAATTAAGTTATTAACTAAATGATAATTTCTTTGTAAAGGGGAACGTAAATTTAAAAACTGTTATTTAAGAAATTAGTAAAATCATTTACTCTCGAACATTATCACTTATTTAGAATAGTTTGTTTGTTTGTTACGGATTTCGCGCAAAGCTACACGAGGGCTATCTGCGCTACCGTCCCTAATTTAGCAGTGTAAGACCAGAGGGAAGGCAGCTAGTCATTACCACCCACCGCCAACTCTTGGGCTACTATTTTACCAACGAATAGTGGGATTGACCGTCACATTATAACGCCCCCACGGCTGAAAGGGCGAGCATGTTTGGTGGGACGGGAATTCGAACCCGCGACCCACAGATTGCGAGTCGAGCACCCTAACCACCTGGCCATGCCTGGGCCCACTTAGAATAATAGGTGAATAACTAGTTATGGTATTATACATAAACGTGCATTATACTTTTAATGAAACATGTGCTATTTAATTTTAAAAAGGTAATTAATTTCAATGTTATCTGTAAAATAGAATGAGTTCACTAGGTACCACAAATGAAATCTTATAAAAAAAAAGTTGCTAATGTTTTTAAATATCGCTATAATACAAATTATTTTAAGCAAAACACCTCAAGATATTAAACATGTAAACATACTTACAAGAAATGGTACAAGTTGGGCAGTTACATCTGTGCCTGTTGTACGAGTCATAATATTTATGAATACAGATCGTTTAAATAAATATATAATAAACTGAAATAACAAAATACGTAAATAGACAGAAATAATGGAATTCAACTACACAGTACGAGTTTACTATCTTTCTTTCACTTTTTAACCATTACATTGGTAGCTTGTTGTTATGCACAAAGCTACACAATGGGCTATCTGTGCTCTACCCACCACGGGTATCGAAACCTGGTTTCTAGCGTTTTAAGTCCGTAGAAATACTACTGTGCCACTGGGGGGGGGGGTATTGGTAGCTTAAAATTTGATACATTGCTTCGCTTATCATAACAATGTTTATTTAATTTTTAAATAAGGTATTAGCTTGGTTTCAAAAAATACTGTTATAAGTGGTTAATTTTGTTTGTTGTTTAAGAACAAAGCTACAAAATGGATTATCTCTGTTCTGCCCACCGCGGATATTGAAACCCGATTTTTAACGTTATAAGCCCTCAGGCTGGTGAGTCGGGTGATTAATTATGTTTCATATCTTTCCATTATTACGTCAGTTCGTATACACAACATTATTTTTAAAAACAAAATCCGGGTACATTTTTCCAAAAATGAGCGTTGGTTAGATATTGTGAAGACTATGGATGTTAGCAACATTCAACGTGATTCTAACAAAAACACCTTTTAACACTGGTTAGATAATTTGAACACAGAGTGGTAACGACATTCAACGTGAATCTAGAATATAAACACATTTTATCTTTTGTTAGAAATGTGAGGACTGGGGTGTTAAAGATATTTAAGGTGAATCTAGAATATAAACACATTTTATCTTTTGTTAGAAATGTGAGGACTGGGGTGTTAAAGATATTTAAGGTGAATCTAGAATATAAACACATTTTATCTTTTGTTAGAAATGTGAGGACTGGGGTGTTAAAGATATTTAAGGTGAATCTAGAATATAAACACATTTTATCTTTGGTTAGAAATGTGAACACAGTAGTAACGACATTCAGCATGAATCTAGCATATAAACACATCTTAACGTTAGTTAGGTATTTTGAACACAGAGATTGTGTTAGCAACATTCAACACGAATCTAGCATACAAACATATTTTAGCATTGATTAGAAACATGAACATTGGGGGTGTTAAAGACATTCAATGTGAACACTGAAGATGTTAGCAACATTCAACACGAATCTAACATACAAACATATTTTAGTACTGGGTAGATAATTTGAAAACTGAGAGTAGTAACGACATTCAACACGAATCTAGCATACAAACATATTTTAGTACTGGGTAGATAATTTGAAAACTGAGAGTAGTAACGACATTCAACACGAATCTAGCATACAAACATATTTTAGTACTGGGTA